TTAATATTCCTTAGTTTAGTTTGCTTATGTTTCCCCACATGTTATATTTTATCGGATAATCCAAATTTGTTCTAAATTTTTATGCGCCCGCATCGAAAGATCCGAGGCGTATATTGTTTTGGTCCTGTCTGTCTGTCTGTTTGTCTGTTTGTCTGCAAACTTTAACCTTCGCCATAACTTTTGAACCATGAATGATAGCGACTTCATATTTGGTATGCATACTCTGCTAATTAAGCTCTTTCAAATGATACCAATGCAAGGGCAATGACCTTGTGACCTTGACTGTGACCTATGCTAAAAATATTTCTTTTCTGGAAACTTTAACCCTCGCCATAACTTTTGAACCATAATAGATAGAGTTTTCATATTTGGTATGCGTACACCATTGATTGAGTTCTTTTTGATGACACCATGGTCAATGACCTTGTGACCTTGACTGTGACCTATAAATATAGCTTTTTTGTCGAGAAACTTTACCCTTCGCCATAACTTAAGAACGAAGAAAGATAGAGATTTAATATTTGGCAAGTATACTTCACTAATAAAGCCCTTTCACATGACACCAAGGCATTGACCTTGTGACCTTGACTGTGTCCTATGTGCTAAGATAGCTTTTTTGAACCTTTGCCATAACTTTTGAACCATGAGAGATCATAAAGAGTTCATATTTGTTATGCTTTCTTCATTAATCAAGTTCTTTCCAATTACACCAAGACCAATGACCTCTTTGACCTATATGCTAAAGATATGTTTTTTAACTTTATTGCCGCCGGGCACATCTTGTTCATTAAATTTTTATATCAACCCAGTAATAATATTTACGGTACTAAAATGATATTTTAATATTCCCTAGTTTTTCTTATCTTTTCCTCCATGTTATATGATTTTTTTCTCCAAATTTGCTCTAATTTTTGTATTTTGCTGTCTTAATTGTGAAATTAACTAATTATTATAAAAACATCTAGTTAATTAGCAAATTTTCTTAATACAACAGTAGTAAAAGAAAATTCCCATTTCGCCTTAGTAAGTTTTCACTTTTTCTCACCTGTATTTCACAGTTGGGCGAAATGGGAACATGGGTGGACTATTTCTAGGAAAATATATACCCTTGTCTTTCTTTGAAACATTTTTTTTTCAAAAATTATTTTAGCCCTTGTCATTTTTTTTTATAATTTACTTTTTTGATTTCCAAAAACCTCTAAGCTATTTTTTGTACACATGGAGAGGCGGCAGAAAAAAATCCTAGATTTTCCCTTCGATTGGACAGGCCACTTGTGTAGCTTTCATACACGGTAGGTCTAAATTCTTCCAATATGTGAATGTAATTTAGTGATAATTATAAAAACATTAAAACCTTGAAAATGTGTCAAACACATGCAGCATGAATCTCTTAAATATTCATTATTTTATCTCTAAATAAAGTATATTTATTACAATGTAATAAATTAAGTGCATGTGCGTTTTTTGTAAACAAAGAGCTCGTCTTTGGCGGGAACGATTGCTCGAAAAACTCTACGCCCCGCCCTTTGGCGTTTCCATATCAAAATGTATATATGAGAAATAATTTTTTTTTAAAAAGATTTTGTTAGGCTTACCGGATTTACTCTGACTTTATGTACTTTTTTCGTCCATATGGTCTGGAGATTGTCATTGACATATTTTGAATTCGCAAGTGCAATATTCTCCTAAAACAAAGGCCGCAAATATAACGATTTTCGATCCCGATGTAAATTATACCACCTGACAAAAAATTAAATTAATGCCACAATAAAGAAATGAAAGCATGCATCTAAAAAGCTAGCTTTAACTTTAAATAAAGTGAATTGGAGGTCAAAATTTTATACAATTTTCATACCTTTCAAGCTGCTTATATATACAAATAGGAGTGGATCTAAAAAAAAAAACTGGGGCAGCGTTTGGAAGTCGGGAGGATGACAGGCACTATAAATACCAGATGTTATCTGAATGTAAGATCTCTGTTAATTTGGCTGCATAGTAACAAAATTCCAACAAGCATTGTCGTTTCATCAAAAAAAAAAAAAAAAAAAAACTAGGAGACTTATTGTTCACAGAACAATAAGAGGTCTTTCCACCTTTTGAATTTCAATTTCATTTAATATTTATCTATTTAAAATTAAATTTCATAAAAAAGAAACCAGGAATGGCTTAAAAGAAGAAAAAAAAATGAAAAATGATTTTTTTTTTTTAGGTGACCTTGACCTTTGACCTTCAAGTCATATTCAAGGTCAAAGGTCAAGGGTCACATTGTAATTAACCCCATGTCTCTATGACTTATAGTTTTAAAGTTATAAGGTTTAATAGTAAGCACAAAAGCATTTAAGGGCAGTAACTCATTCAAGGAGTCACCAGATCCTTTTGCACTTGAACGTAAAAGTTTTGCCTAAAGTCCAATAAGACATTAGAGAAGGTTTCATGTCTTTGCGGTTTACAGTTTTGAAGCAATAGCAATAAAAAAAAATTTCGCACATGGGGCAATAACTTTTAATAGGTTCAATCTTAAGGGACGAGAATGAAATCTATGACACAGTTTTAAGAGTACATATTAATGATGCATAGACATTAAGCATATGTTGAAAGACAAAAGAGATATAAAAAGAGCTAAATTTCTCAGTTTTGGAATGACCTTGACCTTTGACCTTTAAATGAATTTTAAGCTCAATATTCAATGAATCTTATGCAGTTGGGTTCATGTCTCTACACTATCTCGTTTTGAAAATTTTTAATTATTTGTAAAATTCAAAGACTTTCAGGGGCAATAACTCATTAAAGAAGTCATCGAAGAGTTTAGCAATGAATAGATTCCAGAATCCTCTCAATTAGTCGAAGACTTTAGTGAAGGTTTCATATCTGTACGGTTTACAGTTTCGAAGTAGTCGCGATAACAAGGTTTTCCGCACAAAGGGCGATAACTTTTAATAGGGTGAATCTTACGGAATACGAATTGAATCTTTAAAATAGTTTTAAGAGTACATATTAATGATGCTAAGACAGTTTGTATAAGTTAAGAGACAAAAAAGATATAAAAAGAGCTTAATTTCTCAATTTTGGAATGACTTTGACCTTTGACCTTTACATGAATTTTAAGCGCAAAGCTCAATGAATCTTATGCAGTTGGTCTCATGTCTCTACACTTTCTCATTTTGAAAATTTTTCATTATTTGTGAAATTCAAAGACTTTCAGGGGCAATTACTCAATGAAGAAGTCACGGAAGACTTTCGCAATGAATAGACTCCAGAATCCTCTCAATTAGTCGAAGACTTTAGTGAAGGTTTCATATTTGTACGGTTAACGATTTCGAAGTAGTAGCGATAACAATGTTTTCCGCACAAAGGGCGATAACTTTTAATAGCGTCAATCTTACGGAATACAAATTAAATCTTTAAAATAGTTTTAAGAGTTCATATTATTGATGCTAAGACAGTGTGTATATGTTAAGAGACAAAAAAGATATAAAAAGAGCTTAATTTCTCAATTTTGGAATGACCTTGACCCTTGACCTTTACATGAATTTTAAGCTCAAAGCTCAATGAATCTTATGCAGTTGGTCTCATGTCTCTACACCTTCTCGTTTTGAAAATAAATTTTTAATTATTTGTAAAATTCAAAGACTTTCAGGGGCAATAACTCATTGAAGAAGTCATCGAAGACTTTCACAATGAATAGATTCCAGAATCCTCTCAATTAGTCAAAGACTTTAGTAAAGGTTTCATATTTGTACGGTTTACGGTTTCGAAGTAGTAGCGATAACAAGGTTTTCCGCACAAAGGGCGATAACTTTTAATAGGGTCAATCTTACGGAATACGAATTGAATCTTTAAAAATAGTTTTAAGAGTTCATATTATTGATGCTAAGACAGTGTGTATATGTTAAGAGACAAAAAAGATATAAAAAGAGCTTAATTTCTCAATTTTGGAATGACCTTGACCCTTGACCTTTACATGAATTTTAAGCTCAAAGCTCAATGAATCTTATGCAGTTGGTCTCATGTCTCTATCACTTCGTTTTGAAAATTTTTTATTATTTCTAAAATTCAAAAAGTTTCAGGGGCAATAACTCATTGAAGGGGTCACCGAATACTTTCGCAATGAATAGATTCCAGAGTCCTCTTAATTAGTCGAAGACTTTAGTGAAGGTTTCATATGTCTACGGTTTACGGTTTCGAAGGAGTAGCGATAACAAGCATTTCTTGTGAAAGGGGCAATAACTTTAAAAGGGGTCAAAGATCAAACATCAAACAGAAAGGTGGAAAGACCTAATAATAATAATAAACAGAAGAAAATCAATAGGTCTTTCCACAGAAAGGTGGAAAGACCTAATAATAAGAAACAGAAGAAAATCAATAGGTCTTTCCACAGAAAGGTGGAAAGACCTAAAAAAACAATCAAATTTAGAGTCTATGGGGGAAGATATTTAAATTCGGTGCATGCAGGAGAATCCTGAGAGAGAATTTCCTTTTCAAAACTTTTCTTTTATTTAAAATAGAGTTAAACTACCACAAAAAAATCTGCACTTATATATATTCATAGCTTCACTGAAAGCATCAGAGATTGGTATCCGAATCGGATGGACGGAAGGTTCCATAAATGGGCCCCAGCTGCTCTCCTCGGTTCTTCGTTCTCACAGACATACATGAACGACAAGTCAGCATCATTCTGTTATCAGCTGTGGAGCCACGGTGTGCAATGACCCTAGGGTTTACCGTCCTTGGGGCGGATTGTAGTTACACTTGTACATGTGTGACATAAATGGTGGTGGTGGGAAGGGTGTGTGTGTGGGTGGGGGGGGGGTATCCTTGTTTATGCTTGACGGAGAGATAATCGAAAAATTAAAGTTATATCACAGGCACCGGTACCTGACGTTACTTATTTTTTTCTTATAGAATAATTTTTCAAGGGATGCATATTGTCATGGTAAGTCTAAATGCAGATTCAGCAATTTAGAATATTGCCCATGCCGAGAAAACGATGAAGAATACACTTTTTAATTTAACGTTTAAATGACTCATGCAGTATGAATTAAGATATATGTACATGTACTTGTAATTAGAAATTGGTTTATTAAAGCAAATTTTTCACATCGAGGCTCAACTCAAGCAAGTGATCAAAAGTTATATTTACACAAAAGCTGCAAGCAAACTCAAGCTATTTTGTTCAGAATCAACTTCCTCTAAGGCTGAGAGCAAGTTGTATAGTTGATTTATCTTTAATGTTGTAATCTGAGAGTTTTCTGCCTGGTTTTAGCTGACGTCCTTCGAAAAGAAAGCGTACAACTTCGAATGAATATTTAAATTCAGTATCCCAATTCTCGTATAATGTTTCCGTCGTATCATTCTGTAAAAGAAACAGAAATTATATTACTAATTCCTATACATATTAATTAGATGTATAATACATGTATATACCAGGTATATATGAATTTATTTCCTACCTAGGAAATAAATTCGTTATCCAGGTCCAATCAAGGGTGTACGGGGATTTACCCCGGGTTTTATTCCATACACCCTTCGGCCTGCGGCCTCAGGGTGTATGGAATAAAACCTGGGGTAAATCCACGTACACCCTTGATTGAACCTGGATAACTAATAATATCTATTTTCTTTTTATCATATGCGCATGTACACTTTAATTTATAGCTTGTTTACATGTCCAGCTGAATGTAAACAATTCAAGGCGCAAAGGCATGCAAATGGGGGGGGGGGGGGTCTAGGACCCCTGCCTGATTTTCCAAGTCTATAAACGAATTTCACATTTCACGAATTTCGGAGTAACGCTCATTTTCTCCACTTTATCCTTTGTAAGTTATGCGCCCGAATCAAGAGATTCGGGACGTATATTGTCTTTGTCCTGTCTCTCTGTCTGCCTGTTTGTCTGTCAGTTGTCAACTTTAACCCTCGCCATAACATTTCAACTGTGAGAGATAGCGACTTCATACTTGGTATTCATAATCCACTAATTAAGCACTTTCAATTGACACCAAGGTCAATGACCTTGTGAACTGGACCTATAAATAAAAAATACCTTTTTCGAACTTTTGCCAACCATAGGAGATAGAGTCTTTAAATTTGGTATGCATACTCCGATATTGAGGCTCTTTCAAATAACGCCAAGGCCAATGACCTTGTGACCTTGACTGTAACCTACATGTATATGCTAAAATACCTTTTCCGATGTTTCGCCATAACTTTTGAACCCTAGGAGATAAAGACTTCGTATTTGGTATGCATACTCCACTAATTAGGTGCTTTCAAATATCACCAAGGACAATGATTGTGTGACCTTGACTTTGACCTATATGCTAAAAATTGTTTTTCAAACTTTTTTGCTGCCGGGCGCATAGTGTTTCACAAACACATCTTGTTTTAAATTCCAAACGTTATAGGACAATTTCGATCTGTACCTGTTTTGCCATGCAGAGTATGGGGCAACATGAAAAAATAATGAGTATATTTATATATCTTATTTCTAAGATACTGACCCATAAAGTTGGTAAGGGAAAGGTAAGGCAAAAGGGAATAACTTTTGTAAATGTGAAAGTCCTCTATTAAAGTAGCAAATCTTACATTGGAATGTCCCGTTTTAAAACATGGACCTCTGAAGAGTTGGTTAAAATACTTAACCCCCAGAATTAATTGTTAATGGGAAGTCTTTAATCTGTTAATGTAACGATATATAAGCTTAACCCAAATCCTCTGCACTCTGCTATGATTTTTGTGTTTTTGCTTAATTGTATTGGCCACTTTCCGTTCTTTGCATGTTGAAAAATGGGAAGGAGTTCCCCTTGTTGACATGTATACATGTAGGAGGAATTTCTGGAGTCGCCTTGGACAGAACAGTGCATTGCTGTATAGGCTTAGTTGCATGTATTATTACAAATATATATCACATTTGTATAAAGGCCTGAATAAAAATAATATTCAAAGCAATAATAGTTTGGGTTTTTTTACACTAAATACATCAGATCTGTATTTACTTAAAAGGAGCTTTTACCACTGACAGTCCTTGTTATATTTTTTGTAAAAAAAAAAAAAAAAAAAAAAAAAAAAAAAACAACACTCACCGGTTTGACTATGATTGTATCCATTCTACCATCTTCATGTAGGGTCTTGAGGAACACTGTTATTGACATTTTGACAACTATAACACTTGACCGGGAAGTCTAAAATTAAAAGTTTAGTCTCAAACATTAACCTTGTAAGCACCAATGTTTACAAAAATAACATATTTTATAAATGCAAGTATTTCTAATTATAATCGGTGCCAAAGACTCCATGCAGTGAATTTTTCTGATTATCTTTTGTTTGGGCTTGGTGTAAGATGCTGTGGATGGAATCTATACATTATTGCAGCCACAAATTCACGTTGTCACCCCCCCCCCCCCTAAAAATTTGTTTTCCTGCAATGGCATATATAGATAAAGAAAATTTAAAGCATATCAAAATCGATCCATGAGTACCTGTTCCGATCCACTTCAAAAAATGTCTTAACACCTTGTTGATCTTCTTTCCGGTAAAAACCGAGCAGTTATAAATTTTACTACTGGTTAACAGTACTCACCAAATTTCTCTTTAACAGTCAAGTGTCAATTACACATGTAAGTGACCGCCCTAGGACAAAAGAAAATCAGTAGACCGACACACGGGTGGATCTAAAATCCAACACTAACTAGACTGTATGCACGTTTCTGTCGGTATCATGTACAGTGTACAACAAAGCAGTCGATGACCATAAATTTTTTAAACACGCAAAAAATAAAGTGAAAATAAAATCTCATAGATTTTCTTGAATTCTGACTCGTATGTTACCGTTTCCTCGTCTTATAGACTCTATAACAACAAAAAAATGTGTCCAAAATAAAAGATTTAATCATGTTTTGTCTAGATCTATTGATACTAACATCGGCCAGAATTCGCCTTTATCTTGTAGGCGAAAGCCTGACCACTTCTATAAAAAGAATATAATACAACATGAACAAGCAACCCCCCCCACACATTTTTTCCTTTTTTTCTCATAAACAATCTGGGATCGACTCACCTTTAATTTCTTTCTTTATTCTGTAAGTATGCACTAAATGCTATCAATTATAAAAAAAAAACTCTTTTGTTTGTATGAGCTGTTTTTAATCAAAAAGGCCGAAAACGAAAGTAGAAGCCAAGGATATCGTATTTATGACGTCAGTAGTACTTGCATTGACGTCAAGATCATGAGGAACATGTAAGTAAAACAAACATGAATCCTTATATCCATTAAGTTTTTAATGATCATTATGTAAATGAACGTTTGCATCGCAATGGACCCGATTGTGTCTTATGTTCTAAAGGTTTATACGTATACGAACGTACTTTTTTTAACGCTATCTTAATGACTCTTTCCTCGTCATCTTAAGAAATCCGAAGCAGTGGAAAACTGATAGAATGCCGGGATTGTGGGCGGATGGAGTGTTGGGAGGAACATGACTCCTTGGATCCCCTTTCCCCATAAATGTACAAAGTTTTATATAAATTTCATTAACATTAATGTCAACAGCCCCTCCTCCCAAAAAAACGTTTAGCTACAGCAGCATCTCTTTTTTATATCAAATACAGGCGCGGATCCAATATATATATATATATATATATATATATATATATATTTTTTTTTTACCGGGTTCATTTTTTTTTCTTTCAATGTATGGTTACCCCTATTCTGGGGCAAGATTAATAAACAAGATGCACAGAATTTTTTCAGTCAAATAACAAAATTACAAAACAGAAAACTACAAAGGCTACTGTTAGGATTCTATGGGTTTCTCCCACAGGTACTTGTGTCGGAAATAAAATTAATATTTAACCCATGATATAATAGTAACTTTTGGAAAGTGTGAATTCAACTATATGTTGAATGAGAAAATAAAAACAAAATTGTAATACAACTTATGTACATGTGGTTGGAGAGTGAATTAGCTGGGACATTTTATTCCTATTAATCACTTTTGATAACTCTTTGAACGCGAGAAGTAATCAAGTAATCGGAGTTGAAAGACAGTTGTCCCACATTTAAGTCCATTTTTTTATTTGAATTTTTGTATTAGTTTTAAATCTACAGGCATTCTTGATTAATTTGTAAAACGACTGATCAATAACCGTCCGTTCTAATTTTAGGAAATATTTGAAAATGACACTGTTACACATCTTCATTTTGATATTTTTGGGACTTCTAAGGTAAGCTCATACATTTACGTATAGTACCACTACCAGGCAGGCTGAGGCAGCGTACCTTGTACGTAACGTATTTAAACTATTTAACTTCTTGTAAATGTAAGTGTAGCGCGGGTAAAGAAGGGTATAAGTCTTGGAAGCTGTTTTACGTAAAGTATTTATGAATCTGTTAATTCTGTTTTATCAAATTTATCTACTTATTTATACCATTCGTTTAAAAAAAGCACTCTCAAACTACATCAGAATAGATCATATATGTTCAGTGCATTGGATTATAAAAAAAATATTTGCTGTATTGCTATAAAGATTTGAATTTAACTTAGAATGGAGGAATAAAGGAAAAAAATGAAAAAAATAATTGGTGATGTATCAAAAATTTTATATTTAAGCAATTTCAGCGTATTTTTCTTGAATTATTATCTTATTTATCTTTCAACATGTCAGTAGGAAAGAATACATTTTTTTAAACTTGGTCTTTTCAGAGAAACGGAATCCAAATGCACTAAACAATCGGAGTGCACATTCAAGTAAGTTATCCGAATTACTACAAGCATTGTTCATCCCCCGACCCTTCAGCTTTAAATTTCCTTAGGACAATCATTTGTGAGTTTCATTAACTATGGCATTTAGAGGGTTTGGTTAGCTGATTGACAAATTTATACTCTTTAGTTGTTAAAACACCTATAACCAGTAGACTAAGAAAGTATTTCTACCTGAAATTAAACAAAAATTGAATATGTTGCAAGCCCCCCCCCCCCCCCCTTTTTCCTCAGAGTACATTGGCTCTGTGCTCATGCTATACATGTAGAAGTGATCGATGAACAATTAAGCCTAGAATGTAGCCTTTAATGCTGGTTAGCCCAGTCACCCACAATTCAATGGCGAGATACCTCAGCACATTGTGTGTCCTGTCTAAGGTTCCAGGTTCTGATCCTAGTACATGTAGTAGGTGATATGTCGATTTCTTCATCTTTGGTTCTGTAGGTGATGTCTTACTCTCTGAAGCATATTTGGGGTATACGAAAAGATATGTCAAGTTTATTGCTAGAAACATATATATGCATACATGTTTTTATCTACTTCAAATTTTAAAGCACGCTTCAATCATTTATTATATAAATTCTGGCGAATTTGAAATACAGTCCCTGGTTTAATTTCGTTTGTTTTGATTTATATTTTTCTGCAAGAGTACATGTGCTTTGTCTTAATGTTTTTATAACGTCCCTATGAAAAGTATGCCTTGCTCAAAGTTGTTCTCATCATCGCTTTACAGTAAAATGAAAAGAGACATCCTCATAACTGGTGGGGCATTGCTGGGATTTGCGTTAGTAGTTGGCCTCTGTACTTACATTGTATACAGACTGCTAAAAAATACTCCGGCGCCCAGTTTGGAAAGTAAATTTTATTCAACTTATTACACGTAATCTTATTTCACCTGAGCTGGGAGCTCTAGTGAGCTCTCTTGATCACCTGCTGTTTGTCGTCCCATCGTCCGTCTGTAAACTTTTTAACATTATTTTTCAACTTCTTTCTAACAACCACGTGGGCAATTTTATACAATGTAAAATTGGTACAAAGCATCCTTTTGTGTTGTTAAAACAAAGGGCTATTCTACCCCTCTGGCTACGCCGATGTACTCCCTAAAGGGGAAATATTAAAGAAAAGACAAAAATAGGATGGGGTCATTAAAAATACCACTTGACCAGAAATGGTGAAATTAAATAAGTTAAAGCTTCCTGGGACTTTCTAACTTTAAAATGTTTAATACCCCCCCCCCCCCAGTTGGGACTTATGTGGAAGCTTCATGTGTAAGTGTTGATTCTATGTTGTTCAAAATTTCAAAAAATGACCTCTGGTATAGGTTGGGCCTCATTAGGGAATCGAAGCTAAACACCGAACTGTATAGGAAAAATCTTTTAAAATATATATTTCTTCTCAAGAACAAGAGGGACAGAAAAAGTAAAAATTATGTGGAAGTATCCTGGGGTAGTGTAGATTTTCTATAGTTCAAACCATTACCCCCTGGGGTTAGATTGGGGCCACACCAAGAAATTGAATTTTCACATTGAAGTACATGGGATAAATCTTTAAATTCTTGTTTTGTTTGGATTATAAATTGATCACATCATGTTCTCTGGGGATTGAATAGACCCAAAATAGGGAATCAGAATATTCCAAGGGGACAAAATTAATCATGTGAGCGTAGTGGTCCAGTGGCCTCTTTAATCAACATTGAAATTAATGGATTTATTGATACGGAATTATCCACAAAATTTTGCATGGCAAATATAAAATCGAGAGATTTTCTTTTAAAAAAATGATTTATCATTATTTGATGGTCGTAATTATAAATTTTAGTCTTAGAGACTTACATGTACAAGAGTAATGTTTTCTTTTCAGAAGAGGGCACTCGAGTCTGAAGTTTCCATTTATTCAACGAGAAGGAAGATTTTTTTCAATAACGGTGTCAACATAACACAAATAAAGTACAATTTTGTCAATATATGCAAGACCATTTTTTTTTTAAATTAAATTATTTATTTGTTAAGCTGATTTTCCTTAAATTTGATATGGAGTAAAAGTATTGAAGATTACGTTGATAGAGAAACAATCAATCATTGAAATAAAATTGTCTTTGGTTCAATGGAAAACATGTATCTTCCCAGCATGATTAAGTGAAGAAATAAGTCAAAGGCACGCTACTCTTACAGTTGAAATGGTGAATTTGCTACACACGAGTTGCGCTGCATTTCGCAGTCGATATTAAAATGGTACACTACATGTACATGTACGTATCGTGTTTTCAACAAACAACTGTATAGTGCATACCAAGTAAACTTATTTTATAAGAATTCATACTCTGTTAAAGTACATGACTGTAAAACAGAACGTTGTGCTTTGATTGGTACACTGTATATCGGAGAGTATGAATTTTATCAAAGGCTATTGTAAACGCTTAAATTTTGGATTTTCATCTGTAATTCATGTGCTTCGTGAATATGTCATAGAAAAAAAAAATTATTAAAAACACGAGGGGAGGGTGACGGGAGGGGGGGGGGGGGATTGGGGTTCCAGTTTCCAAGCACCTGTGATTGCAGGTACATGTACAGGTATATAAAATAATTAAATTGGGAAAAAGTTAGTCTGATTAAATATTATTTAATTATTCACATTATATTTCTAGAATATTGAAAACATTTATTTACTAGCATTTTGATATTTCTTTCTTTTTTTCCCTTTTATTGTAAAGGAGGGGTGTGTGTGACGTTTTATTAAACAATTTTTACATAATCTTTTTTTTTTCTTTTTATATATTAAATTAAAGACTTTAAAAACTAATATATGAAATTAACACACCGTAGAACATTAAAGCCCCCAGTTTTCTGATACTCCCAATACACAGTTTTTATTCTCTTTATGAAAGAATAATTTTGCACGTTTTCAAATTGTTAATTCGGAGTAATAAGATTTTTAAGGGGAAAAATCATTGAGCTATTAATAAAGGAAAAAAAAAAGCTGAGCGAAACACCAGCTTTCAAGCGCGCAGATGCAGATTTCAAGAGATTGGGGAATTTCACCGTATTTTGATTCGCCATGTTTGTGATTTGACCTTTAGGAAGTTTCACGTGTGCGTGCAGCAGCAGAAACATTGAGGTTAGTGGTTTTATTCCATTTCGTTTCGTTAGTTTTATCGTGTTCTAAGAATGTTTACTACATTTCCGGAAAGTGAACTATGTACATGATAAGTAGTATTTATTGTAATCCTCAATTTGAATTTTGATTTATTTAGCTTTTGATAAGTAGGAAAGTGCAAAGCAACGAAAGAGGTAATACCCATATCAATATTTTTATTGTAGGAATTACATGAAAAAAATTAGGTGAAGTTTTCTCATTTTACGAGTAATACTAACAGCTTTTTTCAAGTAAAATGTCGATTAATTTGTTATCTTCAAGGGTTCTTTCGTGGATTCCATGTTTTAAGTTCCGATGTATATATATATAAATTTGTGACGTCATGTAAATACTTCCAGCTTTATTTTTTGTTAATGTGCTTTCAGCGAAGTTGTATGTATACATTTCCTTTGAGGAGCTTGGCTGTGCTCTGCAGTGTGTATATAATGGCTACTGTTGACGTAAGCTTGTTGCTTTTACGCTCTACAGTGTGCGATACAGTGCATCGATCTGCACATTTGTACTGATCTGTCGTTTAATTCTAGCACTACAGTACTCGGAATTTCAATAAGGTTAAAATTTTTAAACTTAGGGGAAGGGGGTTCATTAATTTTTCGTGCAGTCTTTTCATCTGTGGATATCAATACATGTATTAAGTTTACAACATCTTGTATACACTATACTTGTTAGACTCATAAATGTAACAGAACTTGTCCTTCCGTCTCAGTCTCGAACTCTTTCATCCATACATCTGTTCATCCAGTAAAGGCTCATTAAGCTCATCCGAAAAAAAAAATCATTACTTTACTCTAATTTAATCAGTGGTGGCCTCAGGGGAGAGGCGCCGGGTGCATCGCCTTTTTTTTTTTTTTTTTTTTGAGTATTGAAAGTTAATCTCCCTAGAAATAGTTTCTGGATCCATCATCCGCCCCCTACAAGATTGTCAATATATGTGTGTCTCCTCTGTTTCATGTATTCATTGAATAATGAGACCCCCGTCAAAAAAGAAAAGTAGCAGCCACAGTGATTGTACGGAGTAAATTAGACTCCTTTGATTTCAGAATGCATTTTCTAATTTATATTTTTTTTCAGAAATTAGAAACTGTTCTAAACATGCATGAAAAGTTCAACTACCTTTCGTAAAACTGCTTTTTTGTAACAAATTGGTAAATTTTAGATAATACCATGTCAATATTGCTTATAATAATAAAGGTGATATTATTGTAATAATTACATAGTCACCTGGGAGAGTACAATATACAGTGCAATATTCGTATTAATTACGATATGAAAATGATCTATGATATTTTTTATTTTTTGATATTATTATCTAACAGAAATGTAAATATTTAATAAGAAATAAAATTCTTATCTATGTCTTTTTATAATATTTGAAAATGTAAAGGCTTAATTAGATTGAATTGTTGTATTTCAGAAAAGATTCTCGTTTATATGAGCAGAGACAATTTCCGTAAGAAATGTCATTGATGCACATCTCCATCTTCATTCTGTCAGTGGTTCTTCGGTGAGTTCAATATCACTATCAAACTAAAGCAGATCCAGACTGATCTGCATGATATATGTACAAATGTTCCATTTCGATTATCAAGCAAAATTACTTTACAGTCAATCATTTTTTATCTTGTACATTTATTTCAGAGAATCCAGGGCTGAATGCGAGCGAGAAGAGGAATGCGAGTTCGAGTGAGTATAAATTGCAAAATTGACCAACCTTGTTTATGTAAATACTTGGACTTAAATGATGACTTGAACTTTTCTGTTATCAATTTCTGCCTACCTGGCGCAGTGGTTAGAGCTTCTATTCTAGAGTCGCAGAATAAGGAGTCAATACCTAATCCTATAGATGTCGCGGGTTCGATCCCACTGTGGGACGTGGAGGCCGATCCTTCGAATGAGACTGTATAAACAGAGGTCCCGTGTCTCAGTAGGTGATAGCACAAAAAAGATCCTTACCCGCTCAATGTCCCTGAGTGCCGACCAAAGGACAAAATTTTCAGCTCTCCACCGGCAATTGGTGGCGTCTCCATATGAGTGAAAAAAGTTCTCGAGAGGGACTTTAAACAACAATCAATCAATCAACAACTTCCTTTACTTATATCAATTTAATTAGATTGTTACTTATATGCAACAATATAACCGTATCACCTGCATACGGGGTTTATATCTTTGAGTTGATTCGATAGGCAAGAGGATGCTGTAGGTATAAACAGTTTCTAAAACGATATAGGTTATTGGCAAATAAGTTGATAAAAGAAAAATATGTTAGTTCGGTATTTTTTTTTAACTGGAGACAAGCAGTCGTGTCCTTATGTAAGTCAGGATTTCCTCTGATATTCTCAACTACATCAAAGAATGCAAATAACAATTAATAAACAATGATTATTTAGTGAACATGGCATTATGAATTGCAATAGCTCTGCTGGCATATTTTCCATGATGCGCCTTGCGGTAGCTACGGCTATGAATCTGCTTACAAAGCAATGGCTTTTCATTAATTACGCCATAGTCACTAATCGACGTTTTTCTCTTTTCACATAAGAGTTAGTGCTCGTGCAGTCTTACAACTCGTCACTCTGAAAATGTGACTATAAAAATTATTCAATAGCAACGAAGTTGTAAAACGTTGGCGAATAAAAATACCACAGGTAATCTCTTCGTTACAACTTAATATCTACGTTTTACTTATTTTTAGATAAAATGGTAAACAAATATATAATACTGAACAGGCACGTAGTAACAGGAGGCATACATATTTATAAACCAAGACCCAAGGGGGGGGGCATATGAAAATTTTCATGGAAAGGCTGCCCCCCCCCCCCCCCCGTTTTAAACTCAGTAAAGTGATCTAGGAAAATAAAATAATATACAAAATGAATGGAGATGAAAAGTTGACATTAAAAAAGTTGGCTTCAACATCCCTTGGAGTTTTAGCAATTTTCTTTTTTTCTTTCTTTGAAAACTTTTTCAAATAAGTGTAAAAAAATTAGGCTTGGAAAACCCCCCCCCCACACACACACACACTTCAAACTGCGATGAATGACACTGCTGAACACATTTAAAATTCCCCTTTTTATAACATTAAATCTCTACAAAACATTTATAATTTTGAATTGTTTTTGAGACAGTTTTGCAAAGTGTTTGTCAGTTTAGTATAATTATTGCTTTCGTCATTTATAATGCAGTGAAATTCATACATGCGTGCCACAGCTGTATAATGTAAAAAATTAATGAAGATAAACAAATGAATTAATAATAATTCGCGATTAAACAAATCTATATATTTTACCCCTGATGATTTGAAGATTTCTTGTTGCTTTGCTCCAAATGATATTTACTATGAAATGATATATTGTACTTTTTAGTTTAGAGTTCGTACCAGTACATTATTTACAGTATATCAATATTAAAAAAAAAATTATAAGTACCTTATCAATTAGGGCACTGTGTTTTAACATATATTCCTTTTAACATCATATTTTATTATCTTTATAATACGAGGGCCGTAAAAATTACGCGGACTTGTTTGAAAAAATATTCGACATAATCGGGCAAAATGTCACACATTTATAAAATAATCTTTGCTTATATGGTCTTCAAAATTTCATATCAAAATGTTGTAAATTGGTATCAATTTTTGATTTTTCAGGACATATCAAAGTCACGGAGTTCAAATTCTTAGAGTCACAGGCCTTATAAAAAATATGTTATTGAGTATTTTCTCAACATTTTCCCAAGAGTACCTGTACAGTTTGAGTTACCTTATCTACTCAACATGCAAACATTTTATCTTCATTGAAAAAATTAAACAAGTAAAGAATTTTTTTTTTAAAAACAAAAACTGCAGGTATTTATAAATAGTGTGATATTAGTGACTCTCAATCACTTTCTTTACAGTCCGGATAAAGTTTTCGTCGATAATCTTCTTCCCGTCCTCCCGTATATAGCCTTTTTACAGAGGTCTAACGGTTTAAAATTGTTTTTTTGTGGACGATGTCACGAATACTTTAGTTTACTACATGTTTTATTATCAGTATTTTTTATCTATGTTGGCGATTCTCGATCTTTAAAAAATTTAATAAAATGTGTGCGCCGTCAATTCAGGAAGAGGTCATTTTCACAGTCGTTTTCACGGTAATCGCATTTGTGAAAAATAACAATATTTCTGTTAGTACTTCAAATATTACGTCAGAAATCTAAATGCATAATAAAAGAACATTTTAAGATACATTTGAGAAACTTGTCGAAAATATCGCGAATTATAGAAAATAATGGGTTAAATTTTGGATTCCGCATACATTTGCTTTAAATTTTTTGTCGTGCTCCGTACCTCTCCATCAGCGATATAAACATACCGATAATTTTAGAGAATTTTTTTTAATTACAGAAATTTTGATCGTTTAACGCTTAATAAGATATTTCTATTAAATTTCATAACTTTCTCTGTTAATAGCACAGTCCGCGTAATTTTTGAACGGCCCTCGATTCAATGCATGCAATTTCAATAATGAAATTTGCATATTTTAACCCTCTGTAGGGTTTTCAACAGGCAGTGAGTAATCTAAAATGAAGCGTTATGGTACAACAATGGAATTTTTCCGCATTGCTTTTTAACATTGCGTCTAAATACTAGTAACCACTTGACTAGAAAATTGAAAGTTATGTGAGAGCCTTGTAATTACTTAATGAGATACAAAAGACAGCTTTACATGATGAAAATGTTTTCATTAAACTAGCATTTTGAATTTTTCACTCATATGGAGACGCAACCACTTGCAATTGGTTGTACAACTTTAGAAATCATTGACATTAAGCACCATTTTAAGTTATATTCTATAAACAAATGAAAAGGAAAAAAGGTTGTTTTCTAGACAAGAAACAGAGAATCCGTCAGTATTCCAGTGTTACGTCGTTTATCAGACAATGATGATCGTTTAACGCCAATAAGACATTCATCACTTCACTTTCTCTGTTATCAAGAAATATCGATTCAATGCATGCAGTCTTGTAGAGAAATGCAATTTCCCCCTCATTTTCGCAGTAAAAGTAATCTAAAATGAACCGTTGTGGTACAACAGTGGATTTTTTTCCGCATTGCCTCTTAACATTGCGTCTAAATACTAGTAACCACTTGACTAGAAAATTGAAAGTTATGTGAAAGCCTTATAATTACTTAATGAGATACAAAAGACACAGTTTTGCATAATAGAAATGTATTCATTTAAGTAACATTTTCAATTTTTCACTCATATGGAGACGCAACCACTTGCAAGTGGAGACCTGCAAATGTTATCCCATACTCGGCATTCAGGGGCATAAAGCTTTTCGTGTCAGCACCTACTGCGACACAAGACCTCAGTTTTAACGGTCTCATCCAAAGGACCGGTCTCTAGTTCCACAGTAGGATTTGAACTCGTGACGTAAGGATCAATTCCTTACTTCGCGACTCTAGACCAGAAGCTCTAACCGCTGTGCCACACGAGCGACTTAAATATGAATACATAAAAAAAATTTTCCTGTCCGATCAGTTATATTTGTATGGAAGCATCCCCGGTTTGTATTTATCCAGGCTTGCACACATTTGAAACAGAGAGGTTTACTTGGCCTCACTATAAAATCAATCTTTTATACGAAAATTCTTTGGAAAACGTCTGACAGGTAAAAATTTTGAATTTTTAATCCATATATGATTTCATCAAAACATTGCGCAGTATTTGAATACCCTCAGTTAGAGGACAAGCAAATAATTATGTCCCAACTAATAGGGGCTCAGGAGGATCAGTTACATGTACTTATATAAGAATTTCAATGCTGAACTGACTCCTGTTTTTCTCTAGCCAAAAAATTCAGGTGAGCCCAGTTACTCATTGACCTTTAGTTGGTTGTATACATTTTGAAGCAAATATTTGTAAGTAATCCAGTTAGTTAAGCTGGAATTATTATTCTTAAATTTTCTCTTTTATTTGCAGAAAACTTAAAAGGGATATTCTGATATTTTTTGGTGCTATACTTGGATTTGCCTTAGTGATGGGACTTTGTACTTATCTGGTCTACAAACTATACAAAATGAAATACACAGACGGTAAGATGTTTTAAAACATATTGTACCTTAACTAACGTCCTCATTTAAAAATGTCAAACATTAAAAGCCCATTTACATGCTTTACCTTTTATATGCTTTTCAAACTGTGTTGTGTAGAAAATTGGAATGATTTTGGATGTGATTGGTAAAAATGTATTGACTTCAATAATGCATTCGTTTCTTTCAGATGTCGTGATCATGTAAAATTTTGATCAGCCATTGTGTCCCCACCCTACCCCCGGGGGTCATGATTTGAAGAAACTTGAATTTACACTACCCCAGGATGCTTCCACATGAGTTTCATTTTTCCTGGTCCAATGGTTCGTGAGAAGAAGATTTTTAAAAGATGCCACTAATTTTTCACTAATTCATCATTATCTCCCCTTGGAGGAGGGCTTGACCCTTTATTTGGACAAATTTGAATTCCCTTCACCCAAGAATACTTTCTGGCAAATTTGGTTGAAATTGGCCCAGTGGTTCTTGAGAAGATGAAAATGTGAAAACTTTACGACAACACCGAGAACGACACCAACAACGACAAACAACGGACAAATTTTGATCAGAAAAGCTCACTTGAGCCTTTGGCTCAGGTGAGCTAAAAATGACACAAAATAGATGTTATGGAAACTTATTTATGAAATTGTCCTATGTTTCTTTATTTTTGTTTTGTTTTTTTCCCATAAAAAATAGTTCATTATGAAACCATATTATGAAGATATTTATTCATAAACAGTATGATCACAATTAATGACAACATTGAAGAAAAAAATTTAGACAAAAGAAATCCGTGGATGTAAAATATTTAGTCCAATATATGTGTAAACTAAGTCAGATGGCTTGTTTCCTTTTCGCTTCTTAAGAATTTGTTAAAGGATTAATTCATAATGTTATTTTCATTTTTTTGCTTTAGAATCTTTGAGGTAAATAGAGGATATTCAATATATTGTAGTTGAATATGAAATTTATTCAATGAGTGGGACAGGATTTTTTTATATTTTCACTAGTATGAAGCACGAGTGAAAATATCAAAAAATCCTGTCTCACGAGAGAAATAAATTCTATATTCAAGTTCTGCAAAACATTGAATTTTCTGTTTATTACATTTTCTTTGATTTTGCTTTTGCCTATTTGTCTTTTTGTAACAGTCGTAAGCTACATGACGTCATAGTTGAGCGGTTGAAGGTCATAGCTAAGTGATACGAGATTGAAAACATTGTAAACATGAATTTCAGCAACATATTTGGGGGAATTTTAACAGTCTTATTCTCTGTCAGAATGGTTTATTTACTCTCTGTTTGTATTATAACAGTTCAAGGGATTTTTTACAACACTCGTCGTTATGGGAAGGTAAATCGAGAGTTTTACCGCACTTTTGATATTTGTCACACTGTGACAGGATATCACTTTTATTCAATAGATAAGTTACAGTATTTCACTGTTGAAAATGTAATAAAGTCGGTTAAAAAGCACGGAAACATGTGTTAATGTGAATATTTTTTTTTTGGAATTTCGATATCAACAAAAATTTCATAAAATTTTTTTTTGTCTTCTAATGCTAGATTAGCTCATCACAGCTAGTTATTATACTTGCCTTAATTTGTAAAAATTTAAAAAAGCATTTTCAAAGAGGTGAGATATGTCATTTATTGAAATAAAGGTTTAAATGTGATAAATTAAAACACAAGAAAGAGATCAGACTCACGTAAAATATGATTCTGATGTCTGATTCCTCCCAAAAACTATTAGAAAAAAGTAACTATAAAATATAAAAAAACTAAAACATCTCAGGAAAAAGTCGACAAAAAGAAGGCACATCAAAACAAAATGGGCACAAAAAGATAAGATGGGAACCTATAAAACAAGACAATCAAAACATCACAATGCAAGTTAACAAAATGATTGCGGATAAAAACAAAATAAGCAGGGATTAGGCTATCAAGCTATATATGGTTGTAAGTTACACAATTACACAAAACACAAAAAAAAAAAAATGTCTGTTCTCTCCCTCCCCCCTTTCCCACCCCTACCCACCCATCCCTCCAAAAACGCGTAAAGTACAGTGTACCTATAAAGAAGACATGATAGTTATCAAAACGATGACACATCAAAACAAAATGGTGCATATAATACGTGTTCCTTATTCATTTAAAGATGGATGGGATCGAAGGGGTGATGGCGAGTGTTCGAATTAGACGTGCCTGGTGTCTTGGGTTACTTTTCCCGATGACCACGTGACCTTATACCATCTTTGACTAAGCGTAAGTAAACACATTTTTAGAATAAAAATTCAAGGAACTTTACAAGCATATAATCCTTATGGATCCTTGACAGATATACCCACATTAAATACCCCAGTACTATTATTATGCAAAATAATTGTTGTTATTGATAAGTATAGTGTGGGAACGTGATAATCTTTAATATGAAAAGTTTGCAGTGGAAATACAGATTTGACTTTTTCTGTTTATATTTTTTCAAACTTTTTTTGTAAGATGTGACTGAATTAGTACCGGTGGATTTAAGATAAATTGAGCGCATTCATTTCTAGATGATAATGGCGGGCATGAGATTTCAGACGCTTTTAAGATTTTAAATCAATATATTGGAAAAAAAGGGGGAGGAAGTTCAAACTAACCCTTTGAAAAATTAGAATTAAAACATCGTAAAAAAGAATCATTATGAAAATCTAAGTTTATTTGAATGAAATGTTTAAAAGAAGGAGCAAGTAAGTATTTGGTATTTGGAAGGATCTGCTCAAAAATGACTAGAATTGAATGAAATCTGCATGTTGTAAAAACAATGAATAGAACATCAACTTGACAAAGAAAAAAAACTCACTGAGACACATGACTCTGCTATCTGAAAAAAAAAGAATATTTCAATATATTTACATTTTCTGTAATTTCTAATAAACTTAAGGTGAAATTACATGATGTAACTTGATTGTCATTTTCCTGTGTTTTATTACGAGTATATGGAGAAACTCGCGCTAAAGTGACGTCACAAGGCTAAAAAGACGTTTATAGAAATGAAAAAAGGTAGGTCAAGAATATACTCAAACACTGATGTTATTTCTGGTATTTGTAAAACACGTAGAGGTATATATGGGGCATATTTATATATATATTTTTAAAATTTAGTGTGAACTATTGTTGTGAAAATCAGACAGAGGTCTGCACGTTGGGACAAATCTCGTGAACTGCTAGAGCTTCACGTATGAAGATTGATAGCTTCTTGGAAGATGTGACATTGGTCAGTGCAAATCGTTGTGATTTTCACACCATTATTCATGCTCACAAAACATTAATCCTTCCTTAAAGCGACAACGTGACGCACAAACGGGAAAACTGACAAACAAAGAAGTTTTGCATGGCCCGTGCATGGCCCGTGCAAATTATGTTCAATTCCTGAGAAAATAGGCTTCAGATAGGTATATGAACTTAAAAATCTACTTTTATAGAGAAAAATATGTCAAAATAATATCTGTTTGACCAAACACGAAAACATTACTTTGCTTCTTCCTCCTTATTGTTCGCATGCGCAGAAAAGTTGAAGACGAAACCTTGGCCTCAGTTTCGAAAAGTAGCAAAGAATGAATGTTGATAGACCAAAAATTTTGATAAAATCTTTCAAAAGTTACTAGAACATACCATTGCATGCTTCAATAGAAAGAAGTTTACAAGTTTAAGCTAAAATTAAAAGTTGGTGACCTTAGGCTTAACATACATGCACCCGAAAACAAAGAAACGAAAGATATAAACAAACTTTGTTTTTTCGGCACTTTTATTGTGTAGTCTTTTCTTGCTTTACAGTTCAGTTTATACTCAGAATTTTCATAAATCTTTCGCTTTATAATACATATATTTTGAAAGGAACACACAGTTTTGACTCCCTTTGTAACTTAAGTACAAGTATGTATAAAGACATTAAAAACTGTTCTCCGTGTGCCTATTCAATAAAAACATTTTTAAAAAAGATATCGATGACCCTCTCATCGTATCAAATACCAGAAAAATCATACGAGTTTATGACTTGCAGAGAAAGTAAACTGATATAATAGAGGACATCCTATGAGCATTATTTACATGTGCAGTGTTTGTACGTAACAATATTAAATTATTCTTCAAAACCCTTTTTTCAGTTACTTTTTCATTGATATACAATGAAGCGCATTGAAGTGGTAAAATTTTTCGTTCGAATGGAACGTTTGGGCTATCTTTAGAACGTTGTTTATCATAGGATGACACTCCCATTTCTTTAGAAATAGATAAAACGGTCAATTTGTTTATTCGAATACCTGTAGAACAGGTTTTCCATAAATATAATAGCCAATCAAATTGACAGTCTAAATAAACACTGAGGAAACAAAGTCACACAATTAACCAACAAAAAATGTACATTCCAAAAATGTATCTAAGCAATTTTGACCGAAACATGTGTTCTGGTAACTTCAACAGACATGGTAATTCAGAAATATGCAAATATTCGTTGCAATTTGTGTTTTACAGAGGCGGGGAGTCTCTAACTCTCCTTCTTATGTTTTTAAAGCTCTATTTCAGTGTAACCCATGTTGCTTGTCGCGAAAAGTGGGGTGTCCTAAAACATAACGACGAATATTTCTTTCTCATTTCTAAAAATATGGGCGTGTTATTATGTTATAATTGACGTTCAAAACATGACTTTGGTCAGAACGTTTCCTGCATTTAACCTGTTCAAACGGAAAATTTTACCACTTTGTATCAATGCGCAAGTTTGGTCTTTACAGATACTTGGAAATTGTAAGAAAAAGAAAAATTGATTTACTAGCATGATTATGAGATGATTATTCCTTCATAATAAAAAAGCATAATTATAAGCATTTTCGAGGTGAAAATTGTAAAGGTTGGGCACTATTACATAAGCTCCCCCAACTTCGTTGAGGTGAGCTAAAAATATTTACAAAAATTAAGTTTATTTAATTTTATTGGTTTATTTAATTTCATTAGATAATAGAATATGCAGTCCTTAAATAAATTAGTTAAAAAATATTTTCTTTTATTGCAAAGAATATAATTAATTTGAATTATTTCAAGTTTAGAACAATTCATAACAGTCCAATGCGCCTATGTGTCAGCGCAGGTGTCATTTTAGACGAAGTATGTCTTATAGACTCTATTCCTTATAGTTATACTCGTAGGACGTTACAAAAGTACGAGGGTT